TCGCAAACGGCACTCGACAGCCATCACATATCACTGTGAAAAGAGAGAGCTAATGATTTTGATTTTTTTCTATTGATGTGCAATAAGCAGCTAGTCATAATGTGCGCGTATGTGCATTCAGCATCGCTGATACGTAAAGTAGGAACCAAAAGTTGATGCTAATCTGTACTTCTAATTTTTTCTACTCTACTGTGATATTCAGAGAAAATCTGAAACATGATTTGAGTACCTGCAACAATTTTCAATTCGAATATAAATCTCGTGAAAATTCTGTCAATCATATCTCTGTATGACTCACACCATAGGAAACCAAGTACTGGGATCTGACTGGAAAGTTTTTTCAAAAAAGTCGATGACAATTGAGTGACAATTTTAGGGAAAGGAAGAGATACTTCTTCTTATCAGATTGCATTTAATTTATTAAAGATCTCTGATCGTCAAAACCAACAACATCAAAAAGCCAGTTGGCGGTCTTTCATGATTTGAAAGCTCTCTGATGGTAAAATGTTGTGGAATTTTGTTTGCAAAAGGTTTTCAGAACACGATTTTCTACGATTTGAGTCATGCAGAGATATGATTGACAGAATTTTGATGATATTTATATTTCCAGCGATTCGAACTGAAAACTTTTACAAGAACTCAAATCATTTTTGAGATTTTCTCGGATTATCGTGGTCTAGAAAAGAATACAGAATGAGCTAAAAATTACGTTGGCTCCCATTTTAGGTAATCAGTTGTATCTCGATGTATATTTTATTTTGTTGTCGTTTTTTTCTGTTTTTCTCGAAATAATGTAAAAATAGTTGTAAAACTCTATTCTAAATTTTCCTTTTTTTGCTTCTTTTAATAACAAAATTAAAATATATAAACAAATACAAGAAGAGATACTCGGAATTACAAAATACCCGCTCTATTTTATAGATAATCTACAATTCAAAAGTAATTGGACAAATACATCGAGCGTTAATTCTACGTGTTTCTGATATGTTGAAAAGTTAATTATTTTTGCACTGGAAAGAGCAAAGTTTGAACTTTGAAAACCATGGAAAAACCAAACTTTTTGCGATTGTGTTTGAATGAGAAAAAATCTGAATCTCAACCATCGTCAAAAAAGCTCTTGTATCTTCCGTCCTCTACTGACTATCGCTCTCATCAAATGTATCTTTTTTCCTACAACAGATTACCTTTGAAATTATACAATTATAGAAACTAGAAGTACTTTTATCGTCCTTTCAAATAGGGTATGATGAATTTCTTTTCGATCCATCTTTCAACCAGTAACTAGAATGTAATCGTGCTACGCACATGGATGGGCTTGAGCGTAGAAAAGTTGGAGAAACGATATAGAAAGAGATCGAACATTACGGCGCATGTTTAAGCAGTAACGTTTCACAGTATCAACCAGGAAGAAAAAAACAGCACACTTTTGAGGCAATGTGCTTAGATGACATAACACCAGAGTACATCATCTTTTCAGCAAATACATAAAAGATAAGCAGTAAATATTATAAAGAGGCTTGTAGTAATTTCAGCGGAGTAATTATCGATCCTTTTTTCTTCTAAACCGTTTCAACAATCAATGAATAAACTTTTAAAATCATTTCTCTTTTCAATGAAAGTTCTTATCAAGTTTTATTTTTATTACCAAGTTCTTTAAAACATAGAATTCTATGTTTTAAAGAACTGGTAATCATTTAGTATACCTTTTATTACATGTATGTATGTGAAAACAGAAATTCACTAGTTAGAAGATGTGTACACAGATTCATTTCTGAATTCTGTGTACAAATCAAAAAGTATGGCGCCGGACAACTATTTACAATGAAAAAGTTCGAAGTTCAAGGCACATTTTACTTCCACTTGTGAAACTCATCCCGTTAAATCTAGACGGTACTTTAAAAATTGAACGTGAAATGGTCATTCAGTACCCAGAGAGCCCTGAACAAATACAAAATGTCTATCGACATAATTATTACAGTTTTCATTAGTTTTAGGAACAGAGTTAATTAGACTTAATTAGCGCAAGCTTTATTCTTTTGTTAAAATACTATTTTCGAAAGAGCATTCAATTCTCGACAAACTCACATTAGTGTTTGTCTTTACTAACACCATTTGTGCCAGGAATAAAACAGATTTTCTCGATGTTTTATCTTCCTTATTCAAAGCAGTATTTTAAACCAAAACTAAGTTTTATATGCGCCTTTAATACTATCAATGTATTACTGCAAGATTTGCGAAAGTAAAAGGATCGGTAGAGTTTTATGCGTGCAACATGCTCATCTATTTGGCTTTCAGAAAAAACCGTGTCTTTCAGGCTATAGCGAAGAAACAAAGAGAAAAGGATTTTACAAGAGCCTTTTGGACGATGCTTGAGATTCAAATTTTTTCTCATTAAAAGTCAATCACAAAAAGTTTGGTTTCCAATGGTTTTCAAAGTTCACACTTTGCTCTTTCCAGTGCAAAAAATAATTAACTTTCCAGCACATCAGAAACATGTAGAAATCACGCTCGATGTATTTGTCCAATTACTTTTGAATCGTAGGTTAGGTTATTTTGATATTTAAACTCAACTTGTCTGTACTATCTAAGTTTTGTTTACAAAAATTTTTTCGTTACAGAAAGCTCAAGTCTTGGAAATTTGAACTGACCTTTACTACGCACGCAGTCCTGGAGACTGCCTTTCTATAACTTTTCTGTAACTATGGTTGTATTATTAAGGAGTAAATAATAAATTACAAAGTGGGCAATATAAAGCATCAATTGCAACTGTAGGTGCAACGAAAGGAACGTCAAGAGAGAAAGTGTATAAAATATTAGGGTGGTTCTCTCTGAAAGATCATTTTCGAATTTTATGACTATTAACATTTTCTAAAATCGTGCAAAGACCCACTTCTGGTTATTTTCTGTGCATCTCCTAAAAGTTTAGTCAGGATAGGACAAATACTTTCAGAGATAGGTTTCTGACCGAAGGAGAGGGGGCCTTGAGACGAATCTTTTAAAAAGAAATAGGTCGCGGTCAACACCTTGCTGATAAAGCCAAAGTCTATTTAGACTCACAGTGATTGTGGAACGAGTCGAAACTAAACTAAAACAGTTCAATTTACTCAAGTACTGCTCCCTTTCTATGTTTTTCAGTAAGTTTCAAACACACAATCATTCAGCCGCATTTCTTCTACTTTCGCTTTTTTTCGCTGTGACACAGCGAACATCGACACTTTCGTTATACATGAACTACTTTGTAACCGTACTGAAATCCGTCCTTCATGACCTAACAAGGATTTTTTTTATTTAACAAAAACTATCGTGTAAACAATAAGGTAAAAGAAAAAGCGTATTCTATTATTGATCTTTAGCATCGAATATACAATGGATCATTGACAACTGAAATGAAACATTTATCACATGTTTTTTCTAAAATGTCATCAATATAAGAACATGTAGTCGATTTTCATATTTTCTGACTTCAGACTTTTTATTTTTGCGATTTCACAATCACTGTGACGATCTATTTCTTTTTAAAAGATTCGTCTCAAGGCTCCCTCTCCTTCGGTCAAAAACCTATCTCTGAAAGTATACGTCCTATCCTAACTAAACTTTTAGGAGATGCTGACGGAGTTAAACGTCAACTATATCCTAAAATACTCATTGCTTTTATGGACTATTTTAAGGCGAAACTAGGGCTGTTAGCAAATGCAGCATTTTTATAATTATATCTATGCTTATAGGTTTTACACTCGTACAGAATGTCAGACTCGAAGAATTTAGCCAAAACTGGTTGGAAGATTTTAGCTTTTGGTCGCGGTCAACACCTTGCTGATAAAGCCAAAGTCTATTTAGACTCACTCGGTTATCAAACCACAGTATTGAGTCTCGCCGATGATCCCGAGTCGGATCAGAAGCTTATTGATGCACTGAAAAAAGACCAGTTCGACGCAGTTTCGGTTGGAGGAGGAATCAACGGCTATGATAAAAGTTATAATCCTGACTTCAACCAACTCATGTGGTTTAATCGATTAGTAAATATAATCCACGAAAATTCGCCAAAATCAACAAAACTTATTTTTGTCACAAGCCCAGATGATATTGATGCCGGCGTTAGACGCATACTTGGGGAGAAAAACGCACTAAGTACCAATTAACATACTAACCGTGTAAGATCCCACCTTCATCCCTCACAAACGAAATTATTTATAAAACTTCTAACGCTATGTGTGTTATCATCCATTTAATACACATCACAATAGTGTGGTAATCACCCCGTAAAATTTTAATAAAACTATAGATATAAAACGACAATAATAGATACAGTAGGCTATCAGTTTTAACGGAGAATTGAACGAGATGCTTCACACCAAAAGGTTATTTTAGTCTAATTGTAATTGCAAGTCATAAACTATAATCTTCCACCATCGTAAATGTAAAATTTGAGAAAGCAAGTCCTGAGCCTTTGACCCCCTCAGGCTCAAAACTTTTCCGAAGAAAACGCTTCAGAGTTTAAGGAAAACTACTCTACAGGGTATCACATAACCTTTGCTTCCCCCTCTCTATAACCTAAAGAACGCATAACATCAGAAAGTTTTTATATCAGATTAAAGCTCATCAAAAGCTGCATCTACCAGTGCGATTGGAGTAAATGTTGCCTAAGGAACTGATAAAACATCTTGGACAACATATTAAAAATATCATGGATTACACAATACTAAGTCTATCAAAGTGTCATCATACCATTCATTGATTTAAATTATGGATACTAGAGTTTTCAGTTTATTAGAAATATAAACTTTTCATGAGTACATGATTCTGAGAAAGTTTCAGAACTTTGTATGATCTCCTCTAGCAGCTTTGAGAGCATCGAATCTTTTTCTCATCGAGCGCAGCAAGTCAGTAAAAAGATCTGTGTCATCTTCAACGTTCCTAAGTGCATTCTCAATGTTAGTTTTGAGAATATCGTAATTGTATCTGTTTTGACGATCTTCACTTGCCATCAGTTCTTCAACTTTGTCTTTGATAATGGCACCGATGTTCTCTGCAGGGTTCATGTCGGGACTTTTACCGGGCCATATCGAATTACCCCAGAACTTGATACCTTCATCCTTCAAAAGATGTTGCGTTGCATTGGCTTTCATACATGGTGCCTTGTCGTGAAGAAATATGACTTCATTTGTATCGAGGACGTTGTTTGAATCTAGAAGAAAGGGAATTACATGTTCTTGAAGAATAATTTCACGAAAAAAGACTCCATCCCAAGACTGCCCGTGCTCCTTCAATACCCACATGAGTTTCTTTGCAGTGAACATCACGAAGATTCCGACACATGCCGCGTTCTGAACCATTTCACGATATCTTTCCTCGTTGCTAATGTCTTCGATATTTTTTGCCCAAACTCTATCATTTTGGTGATCCGGTTTTCT